GGGGTAAATAGCAACTTCGCTGCTGCGCACTGGTCGCTGCCCGGGGGGGGGTGGTAAATAGCCAGCACGGCACCTCTTCAATACGAGTGTGCCGTGCTACAGAGCCATGGATACACTGTGGCGAGTGTGTTATGAGGCTGCTTACGCATGCGCATAGCTCGACAGGTGCCTGGGTTCAAACCCCAGCAGCAGTAGTTGCATCCTAGATCTTGATAATATAATAAATCTGGGAGCGGGGCGGGGCAGCGGGGGCGTGGGCACGTGGCGCGCGCGCGCGTGTGGCGGCCCCAAAAACCCGATTGTCGGGTTTTGCCGTATTTCCCTGCTGTACGGTGTGGTGGGTGGGGGCGGGGACCATTCCCGCTCCGATACCAATGTAGCGGACCCACCAGGTGTGGTGCTCCGCTAGTGACAGAGATGGAGATGGAGGAAGAAGGGGGAGCAAGATGGCACAACACAGCTCCCCACGCAAGACTCCAACACACGTACTCCAAAATGTGCAAGTGAGGAATGAGACTGAAAACAGACAATGGTTGGGGTATACCCCAGCGGACTGACGGGACTGGACGGTACCGACAGAGGTACCGGCCTGGACTGGCCTACCCCGAATATAACACAGGCCTGTGAGAACAGGCCAAGGGGCTGGTCTCACAGGCCAACCCGAGGTCCGCTACAACCTCAGTTCCCAAGTCCCGACTGAGGGCATAACCACACCACTCTCGAAATGTGCAAAATGAGAGTGAACTTCCGGCTAGAACATGCCATTGACCAGATGCACCCGCCACAGTTTTGCCCTTTGCGCACTTCGAGAGTGGTGTGGCGAGACCCTGAGAGTAGGCACTCATCGCGGTATCTCCGAACATCTTTTTTTTTTTTTTTTTTTTTTGATGCAGTCGTGTTCATGTCTATGCAGTTTAGACTGCGGGTGGCTATAACCGCACTCGTCGGGTTCTTGCTTCGTTATGATCGGGAAGGGAGTCGCCGCACTACACACGAAACGGAAAACGAAACGAATGCATCTTCTGGCAGAAATGGCCAGGTTCATTGGTTTGCTATAAATAGTAATGAGTGTACT